CCATGGCACCCCCACCCTGGTGGCACCCGGGGCGGACCGCCCCCCCCGCCCCCCCCTTAGTACGCCACTGGGAACCTAGTAAAAAAAACAACAACTTTTTACTACCTACTACATCCCCTAATATTATAAACTCCCTGTAGCACTTGGACAAATTAAAGGGACAATCCTGAATCCTAAAGCACTTTAATTTGCTGAAAAATGTTACACCCTTCTGCCTGTCAATCAGACAACCTGTCCTGTTACTTCCTGGTTTGGTTAGCTCATTGGAGCTAAACTCAAGAAGCAGGCAGTTGTTCAGAGCACCTGCCTTGCAAAGACTTCTCATTGAGCCTGTTTTTAGACAGTCACAGAAAGTTTGAGAGGAGGAAGAAAAAAGGACCTTCACAGACTGCAGACAAGAGCTCGCTGGTTTTGCAAGCTGTTTTAGATATAGCCCCAATAAAAAAAAATGAATAACTAAAGGCATGCATATTTTCATTTGGGGTGTATCTACTAAAGTTTTATTTATTTAGTATTTAGGCAGTGGAGTTTCACTTTAAAGGTAAAGTCTAATTCTACTTTTTCCCATTGTTTTTCCCTAACTTTGAAGACAGAGGCATAAGTGCCTCTAACACTCTTTGGAATGTAAGGGTATACCAGACTCACACCTACAATTGACACATGACTATTTCTGCTGCATTCAATTATGTGGCTTGGCTGCTTTCCCAGGAATCTCCTTCATGGGAAAGGCAGCCTATCACTCAGCCCATATCATTGCCTACAAAACTTAATCCATAAATGACAGAGTGGTACCAACTACTGTGCACTTGCTAGCCATTCAACATTGGGCTTTCCAGCCTAATATCACAACTTGGGAAATAGACTTAGGGGTTCCTGTGGATCCAATCAACTGGCAAGACATATGGGAAGCAACTTATCCTATGTGTCACTCACAAAGATTAAACATACAAGATGTTACTTCACAGGAACCTCACAGGTTATTAAGATGTAAAAAAAAAAAAAAGATCAAATTCGTATCTTGTAATACCTTTTTTATTGGACTAACAGAATTTTGTAATGACAAGCTTTCAGGAGAACCTCCCTTTCTCAAGTCTAAAGCATTTCTGAGAAAGACGACACATAGAATTCAAAGTTGAGTTGCGATACAGGGGTTAAAGCAACATGAGTGCAGATAAGACACAGGTTTGATATGAGGGTCATAAATATCTTGTGTGACGATATTTACCCGAATTTTGGGTGTTCTGTGATTTGTCCGAAATCCTGAATCCCGAAAGGCTCTCTGGAGAAACCGCAAAACAAATTAAATGATCAATGGCCAAAACTGTTGTGTTTGCTGCATGATGTGGGGTTCTGTCCATGTTGCCAAAAGAAAGATGATGGGGACAAAAAAAGATGATTGATGGCTAGGGGGAAGCTATTAGATTTTGATTTTATTCACAGATCAAGTGATAAGTAACCAACAGAGGGGTCAAATGAGGCACAGTAAAAATATATATTTAAGTGTTCTTGCATAGCAAGTACACTTAATGTTATCTCACATATATATTATTCTTATTCTTATTATAGCCAAATTTACCACCCTAACTCCTCCCACAGTTTTTACACTACATAGACAGAAACATACCGAAACGTGCAGATTGTTCCTGATTGGATTGCTATTACTTTGTGGAACGTTTCGCCAAATGGTTCACGGAATATCGTCGTTCTTGTGGCGAAATTGGTCCCATAGGAATGAATGGCAAAATGTTCAAAACTAGAGTGAGAGCTGGCAAAAGCTGAAAAATCAGGACATGATTTCTAAACTGCCACCACTCCCTCATTTTCAAGCCCACCTATACAAATCTTATATCAAAACATTCAGCTATCCCTGCTGCCACTATAAATGTCCACGGCTAAGCCATAGTCCTGATAGTTTTTACAATATGACCATTTGTTTGCAACTCATGCCTTCCATTTACATTAATTGAAACTCCACTCTAGCCAGCTCAAATTTGAAGGGCAATTTCTAAACTGCGACTGTGCCTTCATTGTTAATATTTCAGAGACATACTATGCATCAAAATGTATAAAGCTCTTCACTGTAGGATTTATAGTTTTTAAAATATGACCGTTTGAAGATGCCAACCGCCAACATACTCTGACCTGTGCCAGGCTGGATTAGCAAGTGATGTCATAGACAGGGCCTTTTGTACACCTGCTAATGTTTTTATAAATGTATGTTTTAATGTAACTGTGAAGCACTTTGGGCAACATGTTGCAATTAAATGTGCTATATAAATAAATAATAACAGTTACTCCGCCCACTCCAGTTGTAGACTACTGGTGGAGGCAAGAACACTTCACATAATTTCCCCAGAAATTGTAGCTTTCTAGTTATATATGTTATCTTTTATATATATATATATATATGTGTGTGTGTATATTTATATATATATATATATATATATATATATATATATATAATTATGT